CATCTCTTTGTGTTTGTGTGTATGTCTGTATGCATGTTATTTCTAAACCATGGGCTATTTGTTATAGATATAATGTTTTCCTCTATTGTAAGACACAAACCCATTCCTTATATTTTCCATTTGAGTTCAAAGAACATTTCTGAATAGGTTCAAAATAGTTTCATGTAAGAGCTTTACACCTGAAGTTGGTTAAGAGCACTGCTGGGCACCAAGCATCTCATCAGATGTCATTGTGCCTGGCCCTTACTCTGTTCCAGACATGCTGCTAACGTTTGGGCTAGTAGCTCCAAATATTACAGCTTAATTACAAATTCACCACTGGGAAATCTTGAGTTTAAAAAAACGCTGGTCTGATTGATTTTCTGACCTCCTCACATCTTTTATTGGAATCAGTTGAGCCATTGGTGGATCTGTGCCCTGAACAACTTCACTCAGATATCACCAAAGCGACACTTGGACTGGCCATGGAGAGTTAGTTGTGTTTCTGATATCCTGATTAGAATACCTACAGTTGGGAGCTGCTACAGCAAAGGGCCAAATTCTCATTGAACTATTTTGTACCCCTCCCCTCTTCTTTTGTTAAACAGGAAACCGTTAAGGACAATTCACTTCTTTTTATGCCAAATGTTTTGAAAGTCTATCTGGAAAATGGGCAGACCAAATCATTCCGTTTTGACTGCAGCACCTCCATAAAGGTAAGATGAATGGCTAAGCTCTGTAACCAGCGGGGCCAGGTACGGTGCAGGATGGGACCTTCCTCCACAACTGTGCGTTTCATCTGAGATTTTGCTGGTTGCTTCCATACACGGTAGTGTGCGGGCACTTAAAAATAGCCCCAAACAAAAAGCTTAAAGTCAGAAGGTTCTGCTCTTTGCTTTTGGTGTCGCAGCACAAAATACAGTGGCACCTGTGAGAGCCAGATCTCAATGGGACTGCCTTGTTTTTCCAGGTCTCACAAGTTTTCTGCCTCTGACAGGGTGTCTTCCTAACCATTTTCCTGTCACTCTCTGCTAGTGGAAAATATTTGCATTTTCCTTCTCTAACCAGTTTCCATTTTACATACGTTCCACCTTTTGCAGGTTTTGCTGTAACATGCTGTCAGCGAAGAAACACTAGGGCCAGTCATATTAATGTGCCTGCAGATTAATTAAAGTAGTGTAACTGTCACCAAGAAGGCTTGGCACCCTGCCCAAAGCCAGCATGATTTCTCAGCAATGTCAACCGCTAGGAAGATTAAGACGTTAGCTGGTAATTGAATAGCTACTATGTTGGTGTCCAGCAAAAACAAGGGAGAGAATAATGTAAAGGCAACACTTTGTTTTAATTGCTGTAACCAATTTCATGGAAACAATGCCGCAAAAGGCAAAAATGAGGCATGTTTCCTAGGAGGAAGGTGGGAAAGATGGGTCACAAAGCAGTCCAAGTTGTTCGCAGCCACTGGCATGTTGGACACAATGAGTATCAGGCAAAGGCATATGGCTTCCTTTCCAGATGCCTCCTCTTTGGGAAGAAGAGTGCATATTCTCTTTTTTATTAGACAAAAGTGTGTTCAGAAACAGATTGCTCCCTAATGCCCCCTCACCTAAAATAGGGTTTCTTCAAAGGGCAAATCTTCAAAGAGATTTTCTAGAGAGACAGAAAGAAAAAAAAAAGCACTTTGTGATGATCTCTACAATAATCTATCAAGAAAACATTTGACTCTGTGTTAAAAACGGCTACAAATGATCAACCTCCAGTTCTTAGATTTTTAATATTAATCAGCATAGACCTTATGTCTGGAAGCATTTCTGTAGAGGCCCTTTCTCTGTGCATTTTTATTGTCATGATACCGGCAAGGAGCTTGTTTTGAATTGTAGTGATTTAGCAGGTAGTAGAGCAGACAGTTTAAGCAGATTGATGATGGATCATTTCAATCATCCTTAAATCATTCCTGATGAAATATTAACCTCCCTCCTATAAGACTACTAATTTTAAATGGTGATGACTGAAAAACTCCTTTTCCTTTTTTTTTTTCTGCTCAGTATCAATGTATGGTGAGGTGTTAAACCGATTATTGATAAACTCAGGGAGTAGCCAATTTTTTCTATAAAAGGCCAGAGAGTAAATATTGTAGGCTCTGTAGGCCATACGGTCTCTATTGTGACTACAACCACTCTTCAGTTATTGACATGGTCACGTTCCAAAGACCAGGTCATTAGGTGAAAACTGGCGTTACGTGAAAATGGAGGATGATGACATCATTACCTAACTGCCAAATTACATCCTCACATAACTGCCAGATTTCATCATTGCATAACTGTCAAACCACTGAGAATCATGGCCCACCCAAGATGACACATCATAGCCAGAGTTCCTCTCACCTCCTGCTTTGGTGTTGGGTTTCTGCCAGATGTATGTCATTAATGCACAAGATACTATTTTTTACTATTGTCGTAAATGCAAATGTCGGATAATGAGGTAGTTGATAAGTTAGGAGTAGGTGTACTCTTGTGTCATGAAAGCAGCCATTGACAATATGTAAATGAGTGGATGTAGCCAAATTTGTCCTGAGGGCCATAGTTTGCCAGCCCTGAACTACCCACAGAACTATATTATTACTACTCCCTCTGTCACTATTGCTTGGTTCTATATTACTTGCTGGTCAGGAAAGTTCCTTGCTATTGGACTTCCTACACAACCTGAAGATGTAGCTTAAAACTTGAACATATTTTTTTCTCACTTTTTTTTAACTATTTTTTGTTGTTATTGAAAACATATGCAGCAAAGCACACATCAATGCAACAAATTCTCCATGTACAATTCAGTGGCATTGATTACATTCTTTAATTGATTGTATTGACCTTGACATTGGTTACTATTCCCACCCTCTTTCTCCCAATTATTCCGCCCTCATTAACATGAACTCGGTGCTCCTAAGCTTCCTATTTAACCTTGCGAGTCGCTGTTGTAAGTTAGATCCCATACAGATAGATAGTTCTTAAAAGAGCACAACACTCAAGGCAGGTATTTTCCCAGTTCAGCTAAACTGCTGTTTAGTTGTAAGAAGACTTCAGGGGATATTTATGGTTGAAGGTTTAAAGATGATCTCAGGCTAGTAGTTTCAGAGGTTCATCTAGCCTCCATGGCTCCAGAAAGTCTTGAGTCCATGAGTATTTAAAATTCTGCTGAAAGTATTTCTTAACAGAAATAAATCTAAATTTAAAAGATAGCCCCATTGTTAATTCCTCTATACTCTTTATGATAGGAACCCACTCTAGACAAAGTTTGGTGTCCCTGAGGATTGCAGATGACAATGAGATGACAGGGAGCAGTAATCAAAATAAACACAGGAGGGTAGGTGTGAAATAAAAACAGTACAGTTATGAGAGAGATGTGACACTGTTTAATAAAAATCGCCCAAATTCTTACTACCGAGTGAAAACAGGGACAAACTATTGCTATTGATTTTCCAGGGTCCTCCCTGGCAATTCAGGTGAATGTTTTCTAAATTACATCATGCCACGTAAAGGACCGGCTCTATATTCTCCTCCCTGGGCCTTAAGCAAGAATCTTTTTTTTTTTTTTTTTAATTCAGCACAGTCAAAGCATTTATGTGTTTTCAAGGAGGGTTAATGGGGCCTGAAGAAATTGGAAGAGGTCCACAGAGAAAAATAAAAACATTAGCATAATCAGCAAAAGAGAATTCTATGGCAAGGTTTCTCCACCTTGGTACCATGGACATTTGGGGCCAGATCTTTCTTCTCTGTGGGAGTTTGTCCTGTGGGATGTTTAGTAGCATCCTTAGTCTCCACCCAGTAGTTGCCAGTAGCACCCCTTCCCTCCAGATATCACTGTGGGGCACTGTTGCCCCCAGTTGAGAACCTCTGCTCTAATATCTGTTAGCATCTGAGGGTAAACTGTCTTGAAGAAGGCTGAAGGATCAGTTACTAGTTTTCAGGTAACATGGAACCTAAAGGCTGAGGAGATTAGTTTTACATTATAGTAAGTGTGTGTGTGTGTGTGTGTGTGTGTGATATAACAATTTTCTGATCATAAATGTTTAATCTTGCAAAAGATTGCAGACTCATTCTACTTTCTGCAGAGATTTTAACATAAAAGCTAATGTGTATTGTTATTGTTATGGTGCCTGAGCTCTGTCCAAAAGAGTGTTGCAATAATTTTGTTTGTTTAATCAATGCTTTCTCTGCATTAATTCATTTAATCTTTACTATTCTGACACAGGGATTATTATTATCCCTAGTTTACAGAAAGGGAAACTGAGATACAGAGAGGTTAAATAACTCACCCAAAGTTACACTGCTAATAAGTAATAGTGCCAGGATTAGAAACAAAGAGTTCATTTTCCAGAGCCTGTATTCTTAACCATTACCATACATCTCTTACAGAAGGTAGACCAGGAGTCAGCACACTTTTTCTGTAAAAGACCACACAGGAAATATTTCAGACCTTGTGAGTTCTACAGTCTATGTCACAACTACTCAACTCTGCTATTGTAACATGAAAGCAGCCATAGACAATCCGTAAACAAATGGGTATGGCTGGCTTCAATAAAATTTTATTTACAAAAACAAGTGATGGCCTGTGTTTGGCCGAGAGGCTATAGTTCGCCAACTCTTGGAGTAGACCATTTTCAGAGCTGGTTTGAGTGCCAACCCATTTAGAAAAAAAGAGAATTGAACTAACTATACAACCTATTGATAACCTTTCTAATTTAGGACCTTATGTGATAGGTAAGCTCCTCCTCCAACTATTTACCTTGTTGCTTCCTGTTCCTGAAACCCATAAAGATTTTGGGTGGTGAGGGAAGCCAGGAAAAGGCAAGGGAAGGAAGGTCTCATTTTGGAATCTTTTGGGATCTTTGGAGCATGAAGTTTCAGAAGCACCCAAAGGTATAAAATTTAAAGATTGGAAACCTTCGTGTGCTACACTTTTCAGCCACAGTAGACTCAACAAGCGGGCCACCTTGATTTTGATCACATCTTGTCAATGTTTCCTCTGTAAGGATGTCATCTTAACCCTTCAAGAGAAGCTCTCCATCAAGGGCATAGAACACTTCTCCCTCATGCTGGAGCAGAGGACGGAAGGCGCCGGGACCAAGTTGCTTTTGCTTCATGAGCAGGAGACCCTAACTCAGGTCTGTGAAATTATACCCTCCAATGATGTTGCTGCTGGAAAGAGCAGAGGCCACCCCACCCCAGAATTCCCCCTCCTTCTAGTCCTTTAACTGAATTAACTGCATCCCTATGACCCTGGCAAAGAAAGCACTGGAATCCTGAAAGGATTTTACACCTCAAGGTGATGTTTCCCATTTTGTCCATTTTCCATAGACTGGCAGTTGGTCTCGTGAACACATTTGTCATTCAGAGATTTGCCAGCTACTCATTGGGAACGTGGCTCTGGAGGATTATATTCTGTGTTCTTGCAATGACTTGTTCACTTGGTTTGAAAATTGATCTCTTGAAACCATTAGAAAGAAATGCTTCTGAGATTATTTAAATTAAGCTGAAATCATATCTAGCTGTTTTATAGTCTGAGTCCAGACTGAGACCATTTGGGGAAGCCTGAAATCCCCGCTCCAGTCCTGCCCACTGGTGACCCACCAATGTGTCCCAGTTCCTGGTTACCAAGATGCCACCCCCATCTATGCCTTTCCTGGGAGACAAGCAGGGTGCTTGGCTGCTGCGCCTCCCCCCTGAGTTTCCTTGTGACTCTGCACAAGCAGAATCTTTGCTGAGATTTCAACAAATTTCTCGTAGGTAGGAGAGTTCAGAGATGAGGGAACTTAAAGGAAAGGGCACAAGGAGACACCGGAAGTGAGGCTGGGAATCAAGACACTACCATACATATGGAGTAGCAGAAAGTGTCATCACACCAAAGTGCTTCTTGGTTGTCTGTAATTAAAAGCTGGTGTTCAGCACATCAAGTTTACTCATGCTCTTGACTCAGTTCGACTCAATGGAATGAATTAGTCAGAAAGTTGTTGTTTGTGTTGATTTATATTCCTTAAATTGGACTTACTATTTCTATCAGGTTTAAACTGACCTATACATAGCTTCAGAGTCCCTGGCTAGTACAAATGGTTAAGCATTTAGCTACTTACCAAAAGTTTTGTGGTTCGAATCCACCCAGAGGTGGAAGGAAGGCCTGCTGAACTGTTTCAAAAAGATCACGGCTAAAACCCCATAGTTTTGTTTCTCTAGTGCTGTTCTAACAGAAAATGCCACAAGTGGATGGCTTTGACAAACAGGGATTTATTCTCTCACCGTTTTGAAGGCTAGATAAGTCCAAGTTCAAAGTGCCAGCTCTAGGGGCTGGGTGAAGGCTCCTTGACCTTGGGCTTCAGCTCTGCCTCTTGCTACCAGCCCACTGGAGCTGGAGGCTTCTCTTAACTCAGGCAGCTGCTGGCTGCTGAGGCTGACAATCCCAAGGTCGACAAGTAAAATGGCACAGTCCCAAGATTATCAAGCAACACAACAGGCCATTAGTTAAACAGTCCCAAGATCAGCAGACGGCATGGCAGACCACTGATGACTTGGCCAAATGCAGGATCCAGATGTGCCAAGAAACTCAAGACCTTTCTCAAAGTGTCTTCTTATATACTGGAAGGAGACCACATCCCTAAGGCAGCTACTTAGCTGCTCACAGCAGATTCCACCATGGAGTTGATGACCAGTCTCATCATGGGGAATACTCCATCCAGCTGCCCAGCCACTCCACCAGGCCTAGCCAAGTTGACACATAACCTTAACTACCACACCTATGGAGCACGGTTCTACTCTGAAACACACAGGGTCGCCATAAGTTGGAATCAACTTGATGACAACTGGTTTGGTTTTTGGTTTATACATATTTTAAATCACTTCTAATGATTACTTATTATTTTAACCTGTAACAAAATACTCTTGGAAGTAGATGTTTTATTTTATGCTTCATTAAAAAAAGAAAACAAGACTATTGCTGTCAAGTTGATTCTGACTCACAGCCGCCCTATAGGATAGAATAAAACACCCCCATAGAGTTTCCAAGGCTGTAATCTTTACGGAAGCAGACTGCCACATCTTTCGCCTGTACAGCTGCTGGTAGGACCGGCCCCCAGAGCTCCTTTATGCTTCATGACAAGAGAATAACCGTTGGTATAAAGAATCCTTTAGGTGAAAGCTCAATGTCTGGGTCTAAGTCCCCCTTGAGGTGGATCTTGATACAAAAATTCAAATGCAAGTGGTTCATTTGGGAGGAGATCATGGGAAAACCAAGAGAGTAGTTGGGAAGATAGGTGGGAAAAATTGGGAAGCCAATAAAGAACGTGTTGTCAAGCCAGTTTCTACTGTGGGCGGGTAGGGTTCAGTCCTACTGGGGAATGTTGGGAGACAATGTAGAACACACCTCACAACTGTCCCAACTGAGACTCAAGGGAACTGAGACATTCATCCTCCAACAGGCTGCCCATGATTGGTTGTGGGCTGTTCCCAAGGACAGTTGTTATTTGCCATCAAATTAGCTCCCATTCATGGTGACCCCATGTACAACAGGAGAAAATGTTGCCCAGTCCTGCATCATCTTCATGATGGTCAGTAGGTTTGAATCTATTGCTGTGGCTATTGTAGTGCCTACCAACCTTCTAGCACTATAGTGGACAATATTCTGTTGTGATCCATAGCATTTTCATTGGCTAATTTTTGGAAATGGATCACGAGCCCTTTTGTCCTATTCTGACTTAGTCTAGAAGCTCCACTGAAACCTGTCCACCATAGGTAACCCTACTGGTGTTTGAAATACCAGTGGCATAGCTTCTAGCATCACAGCAACATGCAAGCCACCACATTACAATAAGCTGACAGACACATGGTGGCCAAGGACAGTTACTCCCTAACCATTCATATCTGTGTTGTGCTGGCAGACAATGACAAGTGTTTGCAGTAAATAACCTTCAACTTGTAGCTATAAACACCAAGTGGATGTGAGTGGAGCACTGACAGCCAGTCACTATGAATCTAAAGAAACCCCAAACTCTATTTAATGTAGCAGGATTTCACAAGGTTTTGATATTTCCAGCTATGCTTTCCCTCTGAACTTCCATCTGTGACATAGCTTTTTTGGGAAAGCATCATGCTGATATCGTTGGACAAAGTTCTTTAAAAGTCTCTTCTGGAGCTAGGTAGCCATAACCCCTCATTCCAGATTGATTTCCAATTTTTAAATCTCTTTTAAAATGTCAGAAAGAAACAAAAAGTCTTTAACAGTGATTCTTCCCTTATCCTTCTAGGAAAGACTTGTTTTAGAATCAGGACCAAAATCAAATTGCTAAACCTCAAGTATTAATCTCTAGAAAAGAACATGATTGAAATGTCCTAAGGTAGAGCAGCTGTATGCCTTTGAAATCAATGCATATAAAAAATTTAATCAATAGAATATATACAAGCATGATTATATACAAGCATTATAGAAAAGAGCAAGAAATAATAAGAAGTTATAATTTGTCCAATAACAAAAGTCATTTTAAAGCATTTAATTCTGATGAAAATCCCC